TGCGGGGCTGTGAGGCTGGTGGGTGGGCAGTTGGGGGCAACCAGGCTGGCAGGGGGGGAAATAAAGGGTGACCAGGCCGGTGGGGGTGCAGTAAGGGGTGACCAGGCTGGTGGGGTGGGAGCAGTTAGGGGCAACCAGGCTGGCGGGGGGGCAGTTGGGGATGACCAGGCCGGCAGGCAGAGGTTGTTAGGGGTGATCAGGCTGGCAGGGGGGCCACTAGGGGCAGGCAGGTGAGCAGTTAGGAGCCAGCGGTCTCGGATTGTGAGAGGGATGTCCAACTGCTGGTTTAGGCCTGATCCTGAGGATATCCCCCGAGGGGGTCCCGGATTGGAGAGGGTGCAGTTTGGGCTGAGGGGGACCCCCCCCGCCCATGCACGAATTTTGTGCACTGGGCCTCTAGTATATAAAATAAACCAGTGTCGATGTCTTGGAAGGTAAATCAAAGCTAAGGAACTATTCGATATTGAAGACACATGTCATCATAACTGCATGCAGTGGAGGACCCTGGATTACTGAGAGGAAGGAGTAGCTGTAAGAATATCATTAAGACAGTTGGTTACAGTAGATGTGGACTGTGGGTTAGACAAACCTCCCGGTTCAGTTTCCTGCATGTGATAACCATCCGGGGGTTATAGAAGAACATGCACCGAGGAAATGCACACGGGAAGGATAAAGGGTCAAAGGGTGTAATGGACACAGTGGCCTCTCAAATGGTCCAAAGGATGAATATGTTTGTAACAACCTGGTAAGTCTGGTAAAGAGTAGATAGGAGCTCTGTACTGGCAGCTTTTCTGAATATTTTAAATTATTTTAAAAGGAAGCAAGCTGCACATTTGTGGTGAAGAGTGGGGAGCGTGGGGTAGTGCGTGTGGCACCCGAGGTCTGTGGGCAATGCTGCCGCAAGGGGAAGCTGTGTGGCCAGGGGTGTATTCCCAGCTCCTCCGGCCGCCCGGCTCCTGGCTGAGCGCGTGCCTGTCTCCCCGGATTCTCCAGATGGGCCGGCCTCTGGTTGGGTCTTCAGCGAACTTCTGTGAGAGAACATTGGAGTCTGAGTGACTTCTCATGGCTGTCCTTTCCCTTTCTCTTACAGGACGCTGGGGACACATTGAGCAGGTACCGTCTCTCTCCTCAGTGCTAAGTCCGCAGGGGAGACTGTCTCCTTCCTGCTTAGAACCCCTGGAAGGAACCCGAAGCTGGAGGTGGCGGTTACCAGGGTCCCCTGCTCTGCCTGTCCCTGAACGGGGACTCATGCACAAAGAAAGTGGGTGACCACAGCTCTTCTTTAAAACTCAGGAATTAGTGGGGGTGAGGGGTGAACTTGGGGCTCCCTTGGGAGGGTGCTAGTGATTTTTGAGGACATTTCCATGGAGAGGGTGGAAGTGCATGGACTTGGGCGAAGTGCAAGGGGAGTTTATGATTGTTGCTTCCTAAACATTTCAGAATCCTCTCTTTCATTCTTTCTCCCTTTTCCTGCAATGGGGGAAATATGGCCTAAAGGAAGCGACCAGCTTAGTTATGTAAATAGTGACAAGACACCTGGATTCTGGCTCTTGCTCTGATTCTGTCTATACTGTAGCATCAGACGGACAGCGAGTAAGAAAGAGCTCCCTGGTGTTAGAATATGACCGAACAGGGAAAGCTGGGGGCATTGTTCGTGGCGGATGGTGAGGGCAAGCCCCATAGGCCTGGCACGTAGTGTCTGGTGGGTGCCCTCAGGGTGGGAACTGCCTGAGGGAGCTGAGGTTTGAAGCTGATGAAAGTCCTGAACAGAGCACCTCCTAGAACAGTGGTTCTCAACCTTGGCTGCACATTGGAATCACCTGGGAATCTTTTTACAATCCTGATTTCCGGGCCCCATCCTCTGGAAATTGTTTCTTTGTGATGGGGTGGGGCCACATTAGTAACAAAGAAACAGAATTTCTGGAGGATGAGGCCTGGAAATCAGGATTTTAAGAAGATTCCCAGTTGATTCTAATGTGCAGCCAAGATTGAGAACCACTGTCATAGAGGAAATGCACTTGATTCTGTGGAAGCATTTGAGGAGATGGGGGAGGGCCTCACAGATGCAGTGGGCTGTGTGGACCGGATCATGTTGATGGACTTGGTTTTTCTTTCTTTCTTTCTTTCTTTTTTTAATTTGACATGTTACATTTTTTTTATTTCAGGAAAAAATTGGCGTGTTTTACATAATTTTAAAGTTACATTTCACACTTTGTATAGCTGACTTAATGAGCTCTTTCTAATTTGAGAGAGAGAGAGAGGCATCGATTTGTTGTTCCATTGGCTTATTTATGCACCACTGGCTGCCTCTTGCATGTGTCCTCCCCGGAGCTCACACCCACAGCCTGGGTGTGTCGGGACGGTGCTCCGACCAACCGAGCACCAGCCAGGCGGGTGGACTTGTTTCTTGAGGCCCCTGAGGGAGGTGAATTGGTGCTTGTGCCTGTCCCAGACAGATGACCTCAGCAAATACTACCTTTTTTTTTTTTGAAATATATATTTTTATTGATTTCAGAGAGGAAGGGAGAGGGAGAGAGATAGAAACATCAATGATGAGAGAGAATCATTGATCAGTTGCCTTCTGCAAGCCCCCTACTGGGGACTGAGCCCACAGCCTGCAACCTGGGCATGTGCCCTTGACCGTAATCCCACCCGGGACCCTTCAGTCCACAGGCTGACACGCTATCCACTGAGCCAAACTGGTTAGGGCAACATTACCTTCTTGTTACTTTGATGCCAGTCTAGTTCTGACCCAGCATACGATCCTCCTGTTTGTGCCATTAAGGTTTGGATTTGGCTGTATGGGATAGGAAAACCAAATTTTTTGTTTTGTTAATAAAAACACTTATTTTGCATTTTATACAGAACAACCTGAAGTCTGCATCATTTCTGGACAAGTTACCCAGGGGTTTATAGACAGTGTGTCCATCTGAACAGCATGGTGCTGGGGATTGGGGACCTACACACACAGGCAGGAGTTGTGAGGGAGAAGGGGTGTGTTTCAGTCCTTAAAGAAAAGGCAGTAGAGCATCTGAGTCCCTGAAAACCTGTGCAGATGGGGCTTCTGAAACCAGCACTAGACCCTGAGCTGCTAGGGAGGGGCAGGCGGGATGAGGACCTTGGTAAATAAGGGATGCTTTCTGTGGCAGGGGACGAGGAGGGAGGCTCACTGTTCTTCATGCCCTCAGCCCTAGGACCTGATATTCAAAGGAGACCATGTCCAAACTCAAATCATTTTCCTGCTTAGAAGAAGGTGCTGGTATCTCTGGGATCAGGACCATGAAGATATCATGGTGGTCATGCCTATATCCCTATGCTGGGGCCCACGGCCTACTAGAACAGGGAGAAGAGGCCAGAGGGTCATGGCTAAAACACTGCGTTCATTTTAAGCACTGACTGGGCAAGACCCTGTATCAGACCCTAAGTCTGCGGTGTCTACAACCCGCAGAAAGGCCTCTAGGAGGGAGGGGAGGGAGGGGGAGGTGCAGCACATACAGAAAATCTCAGGACGTATTCACGGAGTGGAGGACAGAACACTCCCAGATCTTTGTTTTTATGGGATAATTTTAAAAAGAAATTAACATCAAACACTGGGTACCAGAAACAACAAACGCCTTGGGCTTTATGGTCCTGGCCTTCATGGTCACCTGGTAGCATAAAAAAAAATTACCCCAAGCCTGTCCAGCTAATAGGTTTTGTTAGGAAGCGTCTAGTACAGCTGACGATCCAACATGGCTCCTATGGAACAAGGGGCAGCGTCCGGGCTGCTGCCTGCGGAGGACGGGGCGGGACAAGTAGCTGCAGATTCTCTGCAGTCAGCTCTGACCAGGGAAAGAGGAGCCAGATTCTCACTCCAGAGATGGTGTGGGGCCAGAGCTCACCCACACCACATGCGTTAGTCCTGGTCACCCTGCAGCTGATGGGCAACTCATACCGGTCAGGGGAAAGGAGCTGGTTAGGGAAAAAGGGGTCACTTTTCATTTTGTAAAGTCTTAATTTATATTTTAATCTCAAACTTATTATCAGTGTCTCAGATACAACTTAATCTTTTAAAAAATATATATTTTATTGACTTTTTACAGAGAGGAAGGGAGAGGGACAGAGAGTCAGAAACATCGATGAGAGAGAAACATCGATCAGCTGCCTCCTGCACACTCCCCACTGGGGATGTGCCCGTAACCACGGTACATGCCCTTGACCGGAATCGAACCTGGGACCTTTCAGTTCGCAGGCTGACACTCTATCCACTGAGCCAAACCGGTTAGAGCGATACAACTTAATCTTAAGTCTTTAAAAACCCCCTGAAACAAAACAAAAATATACTTTATTTTAAAGCTCCCTCACTCTGGTAGTCAGTCTTCCCCCCCACGCCTAATTCTCTAGTTTTACTCTGACTTAGAGTCCACAGACTTCATCAGACCACCCGTGCTCCTGGACTTGGCCTCTCTAGAGAGAGGCCTAGGGCTCGGCTCCAGATGAGCTGTGCCAGTAACATCCAATGCTCGTGCCACCCAAACAGCGCTGTGGAGGCATTCATCTCTGTCCTGCCACACACTGGAGCAGCACCCCACTGTGAGCACCCACATCGGGCCAAGGTTCTTGGCCTTGCCCTGCTCTAAGAGGACATGGGGCACAATCTTGTACAGTTGAGCAACCCGCTTAAACATGGGGTCATGAGGCAGGTGTTTCAGAGCAAACTCTCACTGACACGTATACCGTGGATCAGTCTTTCTCAGCGCTGCATGGCCACAGCCTGGGACAACCCGCCCTGAGTTGAGTGTGTTCCAGATGTAGTCTCATAACTTCTCATCTGACGCACCTTTGCCAACTTCCTTCTGAAGATGTGTCAACCAGATAAGCACTGTCTGATTTGCCAGTCCATGTAGGGGCCCTGCCAGCCCATTCATAGCTGCTGCCAAGGACAGGCAGGGGTCTGAAAGGGCACTGCCAACCAAGTGGCTGGTATGGGCACTTACATTGCCACCTTCCTGGTCACTGTGAATGGTGAGGTACAAGTGCATGAGCTCAGTAAACTGAGCATCGGTATAGCCTAACACAGTGATGGCGAACCTGTGACACACGTGTCAGAGGTGACACGCGAACTCATTCTTGTGGTTGATTTTTCTTTGTTAAATGGCATTTAAATATATAAAATAAATATCAAAAATATAAGTCTTTGTTTTACTATGGTTGCAAATATCAAAAAATTTCTATATGTGACACGGCACCAGAGTTAAGTTAGGGTTTTTCAAAATGCTGGCACGCCGAGCTCAAAAGGTTCGCCATCACTGGCCTAACATGTTGGTGAAATTGTGGGACCAGTCCAGCTTAGAGTCAATGGCCCCAATACTGGCTGCACTGAGCTGAGACATGGGTGTAGATGGTGGGAAAGTAGTCCAGCAGGTGACCACCTGGGAAGTAGAGCCCACTCCTTTGAGAGCCAAGACACTCGTTCCTCTGTTGGGATTTTGTCCAGCAGCCAAAATAAGCCCTCCGGCAGGGGTTCTTCCCCACCCTTAGCCTTGGGCAGCAGTTTCTGACATTCAGGGATACTGTAGCCACGGAAACAGGTGCTCTTGAAGGAGAAGAGTGAGAATGTACAACTCATCAGGACCAAGAGCTGATGTTTCATACACCAACGCCTCTCATGCCCCCATACAGCGTGTCCACAGTGTTTGGCCACCGCTGTCTTTCCATGTTGTTGCCTGAAGTCTTAACTCGGCCTGCTCCTTAGGTATCAGGTCAGCCAACACGACTTTCAAATGTGCGGAGGAAGCACTAGCATGCTCGGCAGCAGGCACAAGACAGGATGCATTCAGATAAGCTGCAGGGCAATCAGGCAGGTGCTAGCAGTGCTGAAAGGCTTAGTATCCTGGTCTTTCTGCTTAGATATCAGGAAATTTTCAGTCCTGAGTCATTAAGTTTTGCTAGTTTTAAGGGTCAAAAGTCTTCTAATGGCTTCCTATTTACACGTTTCTGGGATCCTCAAATCCATCTTGGCTCCGATGAGCTGGGTGGCCGCAGTGAGTAAAGCCACTGGCGGGAGAACTCAGATCTGATGGGGAGGCCGAGGGGAGCGAGCTGCGCAGGAACGGGAGCCTCCACCGCTGCACCAGATGCCGCGCCCACAGGTGAACAAGGTTGAAAGGGGAAACCCAAGATTTCATTGGCTTCAGGCTTACACATAATAAAAAGTTTTCCACCTTGTGAGAAATGTGCCCGGACTGTGGTGGCTCCAGTGTGCATCAGATTCTTGAGTTT